AGGGAAATGTGTGTATATAAAGACTTTAGGAGCCTTGGAAAAAATTCTACTGTCCAAGAAAAGGTTACAAAAAGCCCCAACCAAAACCCCAGTGTGCTTAATAATGAAATGCATACCAAGTGTTTATGTTCCCTTTAAAATGTTTGGGTTTTTACCATGTTTTTTATGTGTAAATTTTTATATGCACACACTGTGTCTATGTATATAAACATGCACACATATATTAGTGTATCTCTAGGGATGGAGGAAGGAATGGAAGGAAAGGGAGGGTCCTTGTTAAATGGAGATTTACAATGTAAACTATCATCTTCACAACTGTATTTCCTAGCCATAAAAAGTACCAGAGGAAATAAACAATGTAGACATTGTAGAAAAGTGAAATTACTTTTTCCAAAGTAAACTTATTTAAAATTAACACAGTTATTAAAATTGAAGCCTTTTTGCAAATTACCTTTATTCTGGAAATCTTTAATATTTTCTATTTAGCGAAACCTTATCTTTAAGGGCCTGCCAACATCCTCTGCATAAACATCCAGGCCTCCAGATTCCCAAACTTTATGACAGTTAAAAAGCAATTTTATGAATATTTATGAAGGCAGTAAGTTATTAAAATAAATAAAGATATTTACACAGTAGAACAACATCTTCATTTAATGGATGTGGAAAAAATGTTAATATGTGAACATTTTAAAGATGAAGTGGTTTGGCCTTCAGGGCTTTTGTTACTCTATTAAAAGTTAATTTAGGACAAAAATGATGGCTTTTTCACGAATTGCAACCCCTAAAGATTAAATCATGATCAAGACGCACAACATTTTTCAAAAAATGAATCTGTTAATGACATTTTCAGAGGCTGGATATTGAAACCACTGTGCAATTCTCCCTGAGAAAAGCCTCCCCTGTTTTTTTAACATGCTCAGAGCAGTGGCACACACTCAGATGTGCTCTAGGGCACAGGAGCTGGGTGCCACCAAGGTGCTTTTCCCAATCTTTCTGCCACCACACATTTCACACTATTAGAATATCTTGTCTACAAACACGGTGGGCAACTCAAGGTGCTCTTTCTCAAGAAGGTTCTCTACACCACATGAGTGATTTGCTTAATCACTGGTAATAAACTTCACCATCTTTCAGCAGCCACGTTTATAGATCCTCCTGGTTCAAGGACATCAGGAGGCTACTCAGCCTCACCAGTGACCCCAATAAGCAGAGTTCCACCAAAACACAAATTTTCCTTCTAGCCAGGACACCAGGAGACAGTCACCTTCAATCTCAAGGTGTGAGAAAATGTGTTTTTTTTATGGCAATTCCCTGCAGAAGTTTTGCCTCACTTCTCTTCTACATTTGTCTAATTCCAGCTCCCTGCTTAAGAAAACTCTTTTTAAATCCAGCTCCCTCTTTATTCAGCAGCAATCCAGATCTTAAAAGTGTCTCAGACTAGTCACAAGATCCCTTCAGGAGTTGTTGAAACAGTTAGAATTTTTTCCTTCTGTCAGTTTTCCAGCACTGTGAATTATTGTGGTTAATGAGACCAAAAAGACTTGGTTATGCCAAGTTTCGTGTCCCATGAGTGCTCCCCAGGTGCCCCACAGCTCAGCCCACTGCCTCACTCTGTCTTGCTGTAGGAAATTGCCACTCCAGGTGCTGGGCATAGTAAATTCCTGAACCTCTCAGCTGCATTTGAAAAGGATTCTGCCTTTGAATACTCTTGCTTGCTCCTTGAAGCATTTCTACCATTCTTATTCCCTCACTTTTTACATTAATCTATAATAGAGTCTTGCTCACTAACTGATCTTAGTGCCCTAAAAATGGTGAAAACCCTCTCAAACCCCTGCTCCACTCTGATATTTTATATATATATAAAATATATATATAAAATACATAGCACTTTTTAATCGTTTTTTTTTCTTTAATCACAGCAATGTAAACCACTTGTTTTTTTATTTTGTTTTGGGTCTTTTTTTCCCCCACAGAGGCAATGCTGCAATAGCAGATACCCTGCTATAAAGGCAGGATCCATGTTCTTTCTCTTTATAGCTGTAATTTATGATGTGGCTGAGGTAACACATTCTTTGGTTGGAAAAGTCCAGCCTAAGGGATCAGGATGTGTCTCTGTGGCTCTGGACAGGTGCCACTGCCACGGCTGCTGCCCCTCTCACTCCCCCTGACCAGAAACCACTGATCCAGTGGAACAGAAACACAACACTCCCAGTGAAATCTGAAAATCATATCCAATTACAAAAATAACTCCAGGTCAGATTTCTGCAAATCTTGTTCTCACAAAGCAGCTTAAATTTATGAACCTTAAGAAATTTAATCAGAATTACTCATGTTTAAGACTAAACTGAATATTTTAACAGCACATTAACTTCAGGCTTTTCTGCCTACTCCAAATTCCCTGTACATTCAAATTTCAAATTACTCCAAGCTCTCAATTCTGTTGTTTTCAGTGTCTAAAGATATGAGAGATGGGCACAGTCTGAAAGACTGAAAGTAGAAGCTCCAAATTATTTTCAACTTTAATCCTCCCCCAATTTTGTACCTTATCCAATCTTCATAAACTAAATCTACACTGCAAAAATACTGTCATTTATACAACTATTTTTCCAGATATTCAAATTTCCATCAGTTGGACTCATTTCTGTAAATTAGCCCCTTGAACAGGAAGTTCTTTTCTACCAGCACATCCTTTCTCTTAATATAATGTAAAGACAAAAGAAATGTTGTTCAGTTTTCATGGTGATTTTTTTCTGCCAGCAGTAGTTTATTACTTCTTTCAGTTTTTTTCCAAAGAACTCAGTATAGAGAGAAAGAACAGAGAAACATTTTTTTAAAAGACAAGTTAAATACACAAAAGGGGAAAACAGAAAAAAAACCACATGAAAAACAACAGTAAAGAGAGAAAGACAAAAAGCATAAATGTGCAAGGGAGATACAAATGAAAAATAGAGACATAATTAGAAACTGTTATGAAGATGGAACCTCAGTGCAGGGTCTATAATAATAAGACTCCAATCCAGAGTGAGATACTTGCATAATATAAAATAATAACAATGAAAAAATTAAAGGAAATAAAGACATGAAAAATACAAGTTAAATACAAAAAGTGGAAAGAAACCCACTAAGTATAGATGTTTATATAGCCACAACTCTCTTATGAACCAGTGCTCTGTTTTAATGTGATGTAAAACCAAGCACATGGAAGGCAGAGATAAGGAGAATATAGGGAGAGGGAAGTATCAGCTGAAACAGAAATGTGAGACTCAGTAAGTACAGAAACATAAACATTAGTGGGGGAAAAAAAGATACAAAGAGTGGATTCAGCAGAGAGATACTGGGCTCATTTAAACCAGCAGGACTTGCAGTTTAAGGCAATATTTCACATCAAATATTCCTTAGGAAAGGAGAATCTGCTTCTGATAATCTTTCTACACCTTTACTGATAGTCACGAGCAAAGTAAAGCTTACAATTATTTCACTGCCAAAAAGACACAGATTATATTCTAAAAAGTAATTATATTCTTTTACACAAATTATATTTTTAAAAAGGGTAGTTTAGAGCCTCAAGAAAAAGGGTAAACCTTCTGTGAGGAGAACATGGAAAGTAGGTTTGTGTGGTTGTAATTTCACCTCAGAACCTGAGCACACACTGGAGTCAGTCTCCTGATCACACCACACTTTGGTTTGTGCTGTATAACACACTCTGAACGTGCAAAACTGATCCTTTTGGGGCACCAGAAATGCAGCTAATGCACCTCAGCCACTAAACAGCACATCTTTGGGACCAGGTTACAGCCAGCCCACACAAAAAGCTCCTGAGATGTGCCTTGTCCTCAACACTTTCTGGTTTTCTCTTCTCCTTCAGGCTGCTGGGTAATTCAGACACAGTGAGTGTTCACAGGAACACAAATTGCTAAAAAGTCCATCTCACAGACAGTGCTGCTACAGCAAACTTTACATCTTTATCAAATCCCTGCTTTATGAGCCCTGATTGCTGTTTCATTGGCTTTGTCAGCAGAGGGATGCAGGATCAGATCTATTGCTGGAAATGATGGGCAACAACCGAGTCCCAGCAATGACAACTGACCTTTCACAGGCGTAATTAAATTGCATCTAAATAATTTAAATAAACAGCTAAACCTACTCAGTTGAAAATGGCATTTTTATTGAGACAAATCTTATTCCTATAGAAAAAAAAACATTAAGCAGTTATTTTCTGAGTCAGTATTGAAGTCCTGGCTGGGCTTTCTATGGCCAACAGAGCAGGTCCTGATTTACTTAACTCAAGATCTGGAGTCCCTGCTCTTTTGTAATTGCTTTTGTGAATTGGGAATGAATTGTTTAAGCATTTACTGAGCTACTATACTTTCTGTATTTTCTGAAAGTCAAACCAGTGATTTTGTTTATAAGATATTTGCAGCAGAAGGCAGTTACTGGATGTTTAGAGTTTAAATGTGGTTTAATATGTTGAGTGGTTTATTATGTTTAGTGCAAAAGTGGATTAGTGAGCTCCTGCTTTGTGCTCTCTGCCAGAGCTGGGGTTGGAGAGGATGGATACACATGCACCCATGTACACCCTCTCCAGACACAATCCCCTCTGCTTTATTAGTTTTCTCAGTGATTTCTTTGTTTGTCAAAAGGCTTCTAGTACACCCAGAAAACATACAGCAGAGTGCTGGGGCACTGCAAGATGTGCAGCAAAATAAACAACTCTAATACATAAATGGCACTGCAGAGTGACAGTGGTGAGTATTGAGGAAGAATCTGAATGTCAATAAGTTCAGACTTACTGGGGAAAATGGGAAACTCTTTGGTTTTGTTATTTTGAAACTGAAAAGAACCAAAAGAAAAAAAAAAAAACAACAAACCAAAAACACACACACAAAAACCAAACCAAACAAACAAACAGAAAAACCCCCAACAAAACAAAACAAAAGAAACACCACAAAATAAATCCCCACAACCCACCAAAGGAATAATTTAGCTGATGTGTAACTAACCTTATAAAGCAAAGGTGATTGTCCAAGCTTCAAAAGTGCAATTTTTTTGGTCACGTTTGTGACAGCTTGAATCCGGATCAGGTCATCCATGGTCCCATACTGGACATCAACAAGCTCTGCCTGCAAAAAGGAGACAAAATTCAGGCTACAGCTACAACCACACATCTCTGAAGGTGCTCCTTGCATGGAAACAAAGTTGTTTGCACAAGCAACTGAGCAGAGTCCTGCAATTGCCTTACCCCAACTTCTAATCAGCAACATCTGTAATAGCAAAGACCTTGAAAGTTCAATCTGACAGATAATTTTTTTACAGTTTTAATTCACAATTCATAAGCTATTATAAACTACTCCCCCCCCTTTTTTCCCCAGTGGTTATAAGAGATGCTGATTCTGATAAGAAATTCCCCTCATCAGCTACAGGAATTTATTTAAAATTGTGTAAAGGATACTAATTCACTTCTGTTTATTTTCTTAAAAATAATCAGTCTTGTAAAGTATTTCAGGGAACAAGTGATTTTACTGGTCACTTCAGAAAATACACAGGTAACACAAACTCCACCAATACACAGTTTTATTTTGTGATTCCTGAGCAATCTTACCTAACTACTGCAGTATTTTCTTTTAATCCATCAGTTATTGAAGCATTATGCTCAGATAACTATAGTGATAATAGACTATGCTCTGTATACTTTTATATTTATACATCTTTTTCAAATTATTTAATAGTCACTTCGATCTAAAAGTGTTTAGAACATGAAGATTTTCAGCTCTTCTGTTAGGACTTTGGAAGAAAATATAGAACAAGTTCTAAGTTATTATTAAATGTCAAGCACTGACAGTAATGTAAAAATATTTCGAGATGAGTTCTCAAGTATTTCTTTAAATATATAATTTAAGAATGACCAAGGGCATTTTTCTCACTCATTCATAGCAATAAATTCTGGTGAAAACAAAGTAAGAGGATAATCAGTCTTGTACATTACTATTTTAGAATGTTATGGAGCTCTCAGGACATCACTGAGGACATTCTGGATCCTCTAAATCCGTACCCAGTGCTCACATAAAACACAAGTACAAGAAGACACAAGAATATTACATCAGTGTTAAAATCAGGGGAGCAGTACAAGAGGGAAAAGTTTTCTCTTTCAGTTCAGTTTTGTAACTTAAGTATGGATTCATTGCCAAAGGCAACAGTTCTGATTTTGGGTATCCCTACACAAACTGTTTAAATTCTAGCAACAGTTGTTCTGGATGTGTAGGATGTGTGAAATTTTAGTAGATTCCTGAACATGGGTATTTTAGGAAAGTATTTACCCTTAAAAAACTGTATCTGTGTGAGTTTGCATCTCAACATTCAAGTTGAAACCATACAAAAACTTTGCCAAGATTCCTGTCTGATTAAATTATTCTGAATTTTTCAGAAAAGTTTCCAAGTCTACAATATGTCATCAGTGCTGTACAAACCAAGTATGTGGAAAGGCCAACCAAAGTTATAAGGCACTTCTGAACAGGCAAACATCAGATTTAATACCAAATAATGAAATGTAGAACAGGAAAGCTCACACTTCACACTGCTTCTTCTGAAATAAATTGGGGTTTTCATATCTAAAGAACTAGAAAACTATTTAGCCAATATAATTATTTTCTTGCATGGCCACAGTATTTGAAAAGCAGGATAAATTCAAGTGAAGATTTCATGCTAGGGATAGGTATTTTATGTTTTACCTAATGTCATGCCTCCAGTTTTAAAGAATCAACCTCAGATACAGAAAGGGTATTTAACCAGGGTGCTTAAGTTCATAAATTTTTTACTGGTTTCTGTAGCTCTTATCTTTATTTTAATTTGTACCTACACATATGTCATAAGATAAAATGGTTATTAGTGTGTCAGAAGTCTTATGTCTTGAAAGGTTATGGGAGGTGATATCTAGGTTGATTTCTAGGGATTCCTTTATCTGATTCCTTTGGACCCAATGCTTTCCTCACCCATTCTCCAAAGCAAAAATCAGGGCTGTCATTATTTGTATGAGAGAAAGCACACTGACTTTTCCTGAGGCAAAATCAATACCCAGACATGGAGATCATGAAGATCATTTGTTTCTCCAGGATGCCCATGTGGAAATGAGCTCCCTGCCCATCTACATTCATGTGCTGCTGCTCTGCACGTCCCTTTGGCTCTCTGCTTCTCCAGGGTGCTACCCACTGCTCTGTAAACAACAAAACTACATGTTTGCACAATTATTAAAGCGTTTAGCAACTGCCCTTGGATGTTCTTAGTTAATTTATGGATGCAAACTGCATTTTCAAGGGAAGCTCACTGGTCTTTCCCAGGAAACACATGCTCAACAAGAGGGGCAGAACAGGAGGCCCTGCAAAAGCACAGCTCATTTTTTAATTATGTGGAAAACAGAAGTTGACTCCCTGCTGCCCCAAATACTCTGCAAACCATGTGCTTTGCTTCAAATTTTAAAAGTTAGCCCCAACACCAAAGCTATTAACTACATTCTTATGTTGAGAGTACGTGTAAGAAATTGCACAATGAAAGAGCAGATGGGTGGGATAGAACAGAATTTCATGGGCTTTCATCACACATCTTCCACATGAAATATAGATATACTAAAGCTCAGAGGTTGTCACATTCTGGAAACAGCATGTATAGCCTAGCACCCAGAGGTCTGCACAGCTTATATCACCTCTAACTCCAGCTAAAACGACAAACAAAAATTTAATTAAATCTTCTCTTAACTAAAACTATATGTGGCTCATCTCTGGCCAAAGGAAGTCAATAATTCACTGGGAGAGTTTAGAACAAAGTCGTAACATTTTGGCAATACAATCCAGAAAGTAATAGGTATGCATTAAATTATGAAAACAGTTATGCAAATTATTCTTACCCCTTCCTCTATTCTGCACCTGAACACTTAAGTAAAATTTGTAATAAAAAGCAAAATGCTTTGCAGTATTAATGAAATCTCATTAAATGCAGTACAGCAATACTAGCTCAGAGAAGTCAGTTTTGGTTTTATTTAGTGGACTGGGGCTCAACTAATTGGGACACTAACTTCTAATATAAAATTAAATTTAGAAAAAATACAATTTCAAAATAATGGTGAAGAATCCTCTTGAATCCAGACCTTCTATCTTCCTAATAATCCATTCAGAAGCTGACAGACTATTTATGATGCATGAAGGCCTGTTTTAGTCACAACATTTCTAATACCTCCAAAAATGAATAACGATTAAATTTCCTATTATTTCTCTTTTCTGTTTTTAGAAATGCTTACAACATGACATAATCCTCATTTTACACATACCAGCTTTTTTAAAAGTAAAACACCCCACCCCCAACTACCCATATTTGATAAACTGCTTTCCTGTGGTAGGATAATTCTGCTCAGAAACAAAAGAGGACTCATCCTTTTATCAGGTGCCGAAAACGAGCACTTGTCTACTTGGTTTAGCTATGCCACAGTAAATCCTCTTACCCTAAAACTGGGAAACTGCTAAAGAATGAGTTGTTTTATCCATCTGAATTAGGTACTTACTCCTCAAATCATTTCAAGCTTTGCTGTTTGAAAGATATGACTATTTAGGAGCAAATTGTGATGTGCATTGTGGAGTTCAGTAGTATTCCCCCATGCATGAAATTAAGTAGGGATAGGTAATAAAACAAACATTTTTAGGAAAAGTAATTATTTTATCTTAGGCGACTTATTAGTTTTCTAAGTCCCAAGATGATGCTCAGTGAGTTGTAAACATTCTATCTCAAAAATTCTAACAGAATCCCTCCCCCGAAACAGCAAAGACAAATACTCTGAAAATGCCACAATCAAGACAGTCAGGGATTTTTATCCTAATTTCTTCTACTTATCTCCAAAATGAAACAGAACGAAAGAGTATACTTCATCCAGTCATGGACGACACAGAGGAAAATAGGTCTTGCAAAGGAAAAATATGAATAACCATATGAAGCAGGTGGCAGCTGAGATCTTGAAGATGCTGGATGCTATTTTTAAACCTTGCTTTCTTGAAAACTCTGAGGCAATTTTAAAAAATAAGACAAATAGGTTGAAAATAATAAAAGAAATATGTTTGTCTTACCACATTCTCATCAGTCCACTTGACTGAGAAGAAGGATTTAATAACAGCATTATACATCTGTGTACAACACACTGCCTGAGAGGCAGATTGTGGCTGATTTACCCACTAGGCAGCAAAAAGACCCAGGGAAGAAACCACAGAGGGGAAAAAAAACCTAAGAAACCCAACACAAAACTCAAAGGTGGGGATGAGATGTTTCCCATCCCAAGAAGGGATGTTTCTAACCACCAAAATGAGGATGCAGCCAGTGCAGATAAGGAAACAACTTTTAAACTGAGCTCTTAAAACCTTGGCAGAAAACAAACCCAAAGCAGCATGGCTGTGGTGAAGTGAAATTTTCACCAGAGAATGGCTGTGGTGAAAAGTCTTCCCCTCTTCATGCTACCTGTTGGTAGTGTCACAGTTCAGTAATCTCAAATGATGAATGAATTTTATCAAATACCAAGCTCCTGACCCATATTAATGAAGAGATTCTGCACAAACAATGGGGGGATCTCAGGCCTGGGGAAGCTGCAGATATAAAAATGACACAGTCATGCCTCATATTCTCATATTCACAATTCCTGCCTACCCACCAAAACAAAATAGATGCAGAAATAGATTCCCTAAAGAAACTCCAAGTATTGAAGAAAACGAAATATTTGATTTTAATAAATATTGTTCATTCCTTAGAATTAAGACAATTTCTCCAAAAAGCACACATGTAATTCTAGAAGCATCAACCCTCACTTCTGTGACTGTTCAGACTTACTACATCCCCTCCTTCCATCCAGGCCAATGCCCTTCATTTGTCCTTCAACGTTCAGCTATTTTCAGGTTGTTCACAAAATAAAGGCAGCAGAAACATCCCATGCACAATCAATCACAATTAAACAACCTTCAACTAGTCATCCTGCCTAAAATAAAACTCCAAAATATATTTGCAAATTGTATCTGAGAAGGCAACAGTCTGCAATCAGGACATGAGACGAACTTTAATTAAACACATCGCTATAATTTATTTGCACAGCTCTGAAATT